CTTCCTTCATCCCCTTTCAGACCAGGTGCCTGGTTACTGCCTCTTTGCGAGCTTCTCACTCTCCTGGGCCACCCCATCTCCTCTAAACGGGTCTCTGCCTACCCTGCTCTCTGCTTTAGAAGTTTCCCCAAGTTCAGTCACTCCGAGGTGAGGTGCAAGGACCCATCGGCAGGATGATGACTCACACAGGCATGTTTCTCCTCTCTGCTCAGCCACTATTCTCTACCCCCTTCCTCCTCACAAAAATATATGGTAAACCAACAATTTTAAAAAGTCAAATCATACGCCATAGGGGCTGAAGTTAATTTTTATTTATTTTTAGTCCTTTCTTAATTATTTTTCAATGCTTCTGTTATTGTTGTATCAGAGCTGGACCAAGCTTGTTTCACTTCTTCTGGCTTGCAGTAAAGGACACTAGAGAACTATCTTTGATTAGAGCTGTTGGGCAAGACCAAATTAGAAACAATGCATGGATGTATAAAAATGAGAAAAATAATTGTATGGGGCTGAAAAGCCATGGAGATTGTAAAGGCATGTATGCGGATGGCCAGCACGGGCCTAAGATTAAACAATGTTAAGTAACATTATGAAAAACTGCAGGATATTGCAAATGGCAGAGGGTCAAAAGCTGTTGGCTTTTGTAATATGGCAAGTAACATGGCAATAACGGGAGAATCTACCAGCAGAAAGATGTAAAAGGTAGTATCAGAAACTCCCCTTGGATAGGGGATGAACAGTAAAATGGGGTAGGTGGCTTATTTGGGAGGATAAAAAAGGAGGAAAAGGGGAATTTAAAGCAAAGCAAACCAGGTGCTTAGAGCTGTTTTGGGGTTCTTACCTGGCCCTACCCGTGATTAGCACAGGAGAAGCAAAATAAACCTGTCTCTCTGGCCACACTTGTGTCCAACTTACCTCCACGGTTGGGAGGACTTGGGGTGCTTTTTCTGTTGCCAGTAAGGGAACACCGCAAGGGGATGGACTGGGCATCCTGACAGCCTAGCAGAGGCATTGTCCCATTACTCATGATTAGCATAAATATTTCTTCTGAATCCCCAGTATGCAGCTGAGCATCCTACCTCAAGGCTGAGGTGGGCTTAACCCCCACGTGGGCTGAATTACATTTTCAGTCACAGCAGCGAGTACGACACTCAAATGCAAAATGCCCAATCTGATGAAAAATTACTGAATTGCCTTACCTGCAGGCTGACCATGACCATGTCCTCTAGAGCATATTGCCCAGGATCACATCCAAACGGGTTTTGACTATCTATCTCCAGCGAAGGAGACTCCACAACCTCTCTGGGCAACCTGTTCCAGTGCTCAGTCACCGTCACAGCAAAGAAGTTTTCCCTCATGTTGAATGGAACTTCCTGTGGAAATTCCTGGGAAATATGCTCTAGAGGACCCTGCTTGAGCAGGGAGGTTGGACGAGATGATCTCCAGAGGTCCCTTCCAACCTCTACCATTCTGTGATTCTGTGATTCTGTGATTCTGTGTTTTAGTTTCTGCCCATTTCCTCTTGTCCTGTCACTGGACACCACAGAGAAGGGTCTGGCCTCATCCTCTCGACACCCTCCCTTCAGATACCTGTACACATGGATCAGATCCCCTCTCAGTCTTCTCTTCTCCAGGCTGAACAGGCTCAGCTCTCTCAGCCTTTTTTCATAGGAGAGATGCTCCAGTCCCCTCATCCTCTTTGTAGCCCTCCGCTGGACTCTCTCCAGTAGTGCTATGTCTCTCTTGTACTGGGGAGTCCAGAATCGGACACAGCACTCCAGGTGTGGCCTCACCAGGGCTGAGTAGAGGAGGAGGATGACCTCCTTTGACCTGCTGGCAATGCTCTTCCTAATGCACCCCAGGATCCCATTGGTCAGGATACCAGTAGCACAGCACTGTTGGTGCATAGACGTGCATGCAGGTGTGTGCATGGTCAGTACAACCCTCTCTCTCCAGAGCTGTTTGAGCTCGTTAACAAGCAAACTCATCTCTGAATGGGCAGTGGGGAACGAGAGCTCAGCGCATAAGTGCCTGCTGCACATTTCAGAGATGGTATCAGAGAGCTGCCTGCATTACAGACTTCCCGTAGTGGCTGCTGCTGTGGTTTTTAGTCTTTCTGGCTCGTATAACGAGCAGGATCATAAATCTTGCCCTGGAGGAGGGAGCCAGGGCAGAGCAGCCTGAGAGAGAAACCACGTGTGGATGAAGAACAGGACCAGAGCACATTGTTTCCCTCTGTGGAACTGGATGATTTTGAGAAATCTCCGTGTTGGGAATATCTTCCTCGCCACCATTTGTCAGCTTTGTACTGAATGCACTGAACTGAAAGGCAACCCAGATGTCCACCCTCAGATTATTTAAATCTTGTTTCTGGTCCCACCTGTGTACACTGCCTGTGTGGCATAAAGCCTGGTTTTGTAACCCAGTCTGTGAAGCACAGATAAATACTGCTGCTGCTCAGCAGAAATCAAATTTAATTCCTTCTCTCTGATTCCCAGACCAGCGTGTTGATGCACATATTTCAATGGCTTTGAAAGCAGGTGGCAAGCCCTCTAGTTGCCTGCATCATCTCCAAACAGTCAATTCAGGGGTTAGAAGAGGTGCAACACTGCTACTGTACCAGGAGGGCACAGAAAACAGCTCTCAGTCAGCATTGCTGAAGAAAACACCAGGTGGCATTCGTGATTTTCAGGCATGTTTTTGCAAAGTCAGCTCTGGGCTGGTTTCCGCAGGGCTGTCCAAGGACAGTGAACGGGCAACAAGGCTGTTCCCTGGACAGATTTCATGTTGCTTTTGTAAACCGTGCATGTGCCAGGAGTATACGCATCGGGCACTTGTATCAGTGGTCTGTCACCCTTCCTTTCTTTTGGACATAGGACACTGGAGGACAAGGATGGCAAAGAGCGGGTGAAGGATCCTTGTGGCTTAAAGTTGGCTAAAGTTGGCTGGGGACTCCTGTCATCAGAGGTAAGTCTCAGCAAGAAGGAAATGACATATAGACTCACAGGGCTTAATTCAGGTGCCCTTATACTGGCATCTAGAGGAATTTGCAGTGCCCTGGTGAGATCTCCACCTGGAACTGGCAGACCAGGTGCAGGAGTGAGGAAAACAAAGCCTTGCTGGAGCAGCAGCAGCAGGCCGGGTGGGACACCAAGGGCATCTCTGATGGCACTTGATGCCTGAAGGTGAGCAAATGAATTGAGCCCTGGGGATTTACAGAGCGCAGGAATCTGTGGCATTCCCTGTGATAAAAATACCTACTTTAAGCCAGCCGGCATTTATAAGAGGAGTTCTTCAACCCATTCCTATTAATAACTGTGACATAGATATGTGTATGTGTGTGCGTGTGTGCGTGTGTGCATATACATACTTATATGTATATATGTATGCACACAAGCATTTTGGTGTGAATGTGCTAGAAGGACTCTAGAGAATTGAAAGAGTAAACACTACCACTATTATAAGATGTGCGGTGTGTAATCTTAAATAAACAATCACTTAAATTAATATCCTGACCATTCCTGACTAAATCACAGTCTAAAATATTCTTTTCTAATCATACATTCTTTAGCTAAAACAATATAGAAAGTAATTTAGAAAACTGAGCCTTTCTTTCTTTTATAATATTTATAGATCATGAATATATGCGTACACATACACAGACACGCAAGAATATATATGTATGCCTGTGTGTGTTCTCTGTATAAAAGATGAACTTGATTTCTAGGGCTATACACAATACCCTTTACATCACTGCAGAGAAAGGAAACTGAATGAGAAATGTCACTATCAAAATGCTTTCAGTATATAGTATTATTTCATGTGTTACATGTATTTAATTGTAAAGATACAAATTAGGGAAATGTATCCCTTTAATGAGCTTAAGTAGCCCAAAAAATAATTAAAGTCAATAATAATATAGTGTAACAGATAGTTTAATTACCATGTTTAAGGAATTTAAGAGTACATTTACTAACAGGTATACTAACAGATACAATCCATTAGTATAAGATTTTATCACAGTCCTTTTTCACACACAAATTTCGATCTCTGCTTTGTACCATGCTTGGCAGGCAACATAGGTACAAAGTGGGAAATGTGAAGAAGTGATCTTACCATCCCATTTGAATTCACAGTGTTTATTTCTGCTTGCTTAAGTAAAATTAAAAAATATATATGCTCCTGCCTGCTGCAAAACACATATGCACATTGCATCAATTACGTAGCAGTGTGATTAGGTAAGAGTTGTCTCTGGGTGGTTAAAGCTTCCATTTGAATTTTTCCTATCAATCACAACATCACTTGGACCCAAGTAAGCGGAATTACAGGCTGCTGTTGAAAGAGAGACCGATGTTTCCTAAAGGAAGGGAAGGTTTCCTACCTTTCCACCTGCTCGCTGTTGGCTGCCCACCCGCTGCCGATGCAAAGGGATTCCCATAATCCTTCTGCCTACACCTGCCTTTACTACCTGTTAGACAGACATAATTCACAGTGGTAGCAACACAACACTACCAACATAGGGGATACTAGATCAAAAGAACAGCAAAAAATGCTCAGTCATTGAGAATTGAGTGTAATTTTTCCCATATAAATTTCACCTAAAGGAACCACATCGATTCAATCTTCTTTTTTACAGTTCTTTTACTATTGCATTGTCCATACATTCCCTCTTCATCATCTTCATCAAGAAGGAGCAAGATCTTCTCCAGCTGCAGACTTATCCTTCATGCAAATCTTCATTTCTTGGGGAGATGAACAAGGAAGAGAGGTGCATTTCACGGAACACCTTCTCCAACAGACTCTAGTTTACCAAAAGCCCTTTGCTTCCCTACAGCTCTACGTCCTAACTTCACAATAGGGTCTTTTCAAAGATGTCACGTGATTTTCTGATTTTGCCCATTCCCTCCAGTTATTGTCTTGCCACTCCAACCAGCTGGCCGGCCCTCTGCATCCTACAGAGCAAAGTAAAAAGAACATTAATTTAAGCTTCAAGAACACTCTCTATTTACGTAAAGGAAGTGTTTCTTCACATCCCATTTTGAGCTGAAAGATAACCAGCGGTGCAGTTCTGTTGAAAAATATTCAAATTAGGTTTTACTCTCCTAAAAAGCTTCTCAAAGTCTACTTTCTACAGTTCAATCAAAATCTTAATTTTTGTTACACCTGTCTTGCATGTCTAGTCAATCTATAATATGGACACAAGTAACCAATGGTAACATGGTGTCTCCACCCTCTGACAAAAGTTTGTGCATAGCTTAGACAAAACCACTAAAGTTAACCCAGCCAGTGCTGGCCTGACTCGAGCTTTACTTCTGGTGTCACTCAGGTATTGCGTGTCTATGGAAAGCAAACAAAAGCAACCATTCCTTCTCCAGAATCTTCTATACAGCGAGTTTTAAGGGCTACCAAGGAGTCTGGCCTGAGTTAGAACAGATACCGCAGTAAAATTAACAAGAAAATGTATAAAAACTGTGTTGTCAGAATAATTTACTTGCTCTTGCTTGAAGAAAGGTACTGATAAGCAAGGAAAGGAGACAAATTCCACAAATTCATTACACTCTCCTAGGAAACAGATTGTCTGGGTAGATGGGTGTAACTAGCTACTGCAGGAGCCCAGGGATGCGGGTTTTTTCTAGTTTCCTAGTAGTACGTACAGTATCTTGTTCTAGGCTCACCTGTGAGATGTAGTGGTCACCACATGATAGGAGATGAGGTCACTCCATGATAAGAGATAGGGCCAGGGAATAGCAGTGCTACTGTCAGCCTCTCTCATCCCATGCTCTGGGAGCACGGGGGAGCGACTGGACCAAAACCTGCGTTTGTAGAGACTGTGTCCTTTGGCCAACTGGAAAGTGCATCCCTGGAAGCGGGTGCCTCCCTGAAATACTCATTTTTCAAATAAAGTTATTTATGTTGCTCTACCTCTGCAGTGAGTAGATTGCTAATGTGGTAGATGCATGAAACTAGGAAAATACTCTTGATGCACACATAAGCTTGCTTTTTTGTGTGATTGTGCTGCTGCAAAAGGATTACACAAACTTCTAGGCCGCGTTCTCAACTCTTCTATGATCTCAAGGCACTACTCACAGCTCACAGAACCCACCTAAAGCCCTCTCTTTTTTTTCTTTTTTTTTTTTCCTTTGGAAGTCTTGTGCAAAGATTGAGCTTTTCAGGTATAGCTACTTAGCTAGACCATGTTCAGGCTGGAGGCTTGCCATGTGCCACTCACCGTGGAAGGTACTTCCTTCCTTCAGAGAGGACCTTCCTGCAGTTAGCACCAAGCACTATGGCTATGGGATAGCTCCGTAGAATTTGGTTCCCAACTGGAGCCAAACCAGCAATTTTCAGTATATGTCCCAGGAGGCTTTTTTTTCACAACCTTCAATGACTCTTACACAAACCAGGGTGGTGCAACATGTTTTTCGGAAGTGTCAACTCTTTTTCCAGAGAGAAAGGTGAGGGAGTTCATGAGCACTCTCCATTTCTTGTTGGCTGCTGGGAAGTGACAATTTGACTGCTGGCAGTCATGGTGAGAAGCTTGTGTCACTGTCTGACTGGTCTGTGGCGGCTTTATCAAGAACAGGAATATATAAAAACAGTAGTTTTGGGACAAGACTTCACTTGGTGAAGCGGAGCAGCTCCCTGAGAGGAACCAGGCAGGACGGATTGGCCACCCTGACCTGTTTCCACCTGCTACCTTTGGAGGTCTGAAGTTCACTAGGGTGAGGTGAAGATATAATTTTCACACCACTTGCAAGTGATAAGGAGCAAAATACGAAACATTTTTTGTCGTATTCTATGCTTATCAAAAAAAAATTCATTATGCCAAGACTTACGATTTCAGAATTTAATAAAATCTTCATAAGCAATTAAAACATATAATATTTATTTATATATTCTAATATTTAAATATTTCAGTAACATACTTGGCTGATTGTTATAGTTAATAATCGTGATTTTGGATGAATACATTACAGTGGTTAGTATTGTTTGTGAAGGTAAATTGGACTCTGCAGCAAGAAATGCTGGTGGACAGATACCTTGAGGCTTTTAGTTATTTCAGATTTATGGAGAAAAGGAATAGATAGCTCCTTAATTTTTTCTATAAAGACTTTCTAAGGATTTAGTACTGATTTGCAAAATGCAGAAAAAGTCTATTATTTAAATAGTTAGGGCTTCAGAGATTTTATTACCAGAGAAATTAGAATGATTTAAATTAATATCTACCTATACCTGGAATAAAATATAATATAATTTAAAAAAATGGACATTTTTGGTCATTAACCAACTTAACTTTTTAATATATTTTGTAAGGAACTTGAATGAACTGCAGAGGACTGTATATTAGTGAATAAGCTCAAATAAAAATGGATAAAATTCACAATGGAAGGACTGATCATTTTCTACGTGTACCAGTGTTACCTGTAATTTAAACAAGAGACCTAGGAACAGGCTTGCTTATACTGTAATACATGGATAACAGTTGGAGGGGATTAGTTACATTTCTTAATTTTTATTAGTTATAACATCCTGAGTGCATGGTAGTTCAAACTAGGAGTCTGCGCTGGAGCTAGTGTAGGCTATCTATCATTAATGGAGAGTATTCCTTTCATTATTTTTTATTTTATAGGTATAAAATACATTTCAGGATCTTCTGAAACGTGCTCTCAAATCTGTTTTTCTGTTTCAAGTGCTATTCCAGTGGATTTATTCTAGAAAATGTACAGTATTCCATAAATTATAGTTTCTATTAATAAATTTCAGCTGATATGTTATAAATAGTGTTTGGACCAGAACACGCACAGGATAAATACATGGTCTCTCTATGATTTTTTTTCTTGGCAGCTGTTATATTTTGTGACACTGAATTTGGACATGAAGATTTCTTATTTTTTCTTTGCTGTTCTCCTCTTAGTGCTCCAAAGCACTTTAGGTAAGAGCTACATAAAATCAAAAGAAAAAAAAAGGGAAGTTCATGAATTTACAGAAGCTGGTATTATGATTTTTGAACACTTTTTCTAAATAGCTTAATTACCTGCAAGTTTTGCTGCAGAAAATTTGCGTAGGACTAGACCTGAGCCAGTGGTATGTCCCTGGGAAAAACAAAAAAAACAAATAATCAAAAACTTTAGATTAGGTGAAAACTTGCGAAAAGATGTCGTGAGGGTGCTATTTCTGTTTGTCCTCTATGTCAAAGATAGCATAATAGTACTAGTCCATCAATTAAAGTTGATAAAAAAGGATTTGTCTGGACAATTCAGACAGGCTAAATTCCATCTAAGTCAAGGGTAAAAGAGGGGGGAAAAAACACAGAAGCAACAGTCCTGGCATCCGAAGGAAGAGATGAGCTCTCTGAGATCTGAAGGCTGAAAGACAGTACCCGACCAGTCCATTAAACGGTGCCAGGGTGCAGTAAACAGAGCGGCTATGCTGTTAGATTAGTTATGTAATCTTCCATATGGCTGTTGGCACCGGCCAGCTAATACTCCCAGTGTGTTGGGCACAGTCCAGCAGTGAACAGACTAGAATATTGTCTTGCTATAATCCTAACTTGTATTTGCATTCCTTGGGAAGGAAAATCAGGACTCCTTTTCTCTGTGCAGGTTTTATGCGTGCACCTGATAATGATGTGCAATGCAAACAGGCTGGGGGCAGCTGCTCCATGGACCGCTGTCCTCTGCGCACAAGGGCCTTTGGACGTTGCCAGAAAGGGATCCCTTGCTGTAGGACTGTGGTGAGTTGAGGGATCCGCAAAGACAAAGTATTTCTTGGGTAACAGGTTCATTATATACAACCAGTCTGCCTTTTAGATGTGAAACACCTCTAGTGCAAGCCAGCAAGGGAGCAGAGATGTACACTCAGATATAGGATTTCCTGAAAATTTTTCTCATTAGTTTTTCCTGTGTGAAATTGATAACCTATCTCAAATACCTCACAGGCAAAATAATTCGTAGTCCAAACTCTTGAGCAGAGATAAGTAATTACTCTGTAGTTAACTCTTTACTCTGTATATCTCAACAGCTGATTCAGAGCCCTCATGATCAGTAGTAATGGTTGCAGAGCACACATCCCTTAAGTCCCTACTATGTAAATTCTCTGGAAACCCACAACACAGGAGTCAGATGTGTATTTCATGGACAGTATGGAACCTACAAATTCCATATTCACAGAATCACAGAATCACAGAATGGTAGAGGTTGGAAGGGACCTCTGGAGATCATCTAGTCCAACCCCCCTGTTCACGCAGGGTCCTCTAGAGCATATTTCCTAGGATCGCATCCAGGCGGGTTTTGAATATTGCAAAGTCTAACTGGCTCATATTCACAAGAACAACCTGAGAGTCATGTTCTGCTGATTATTTTCTCCAGTTCTGTAATTCTCCACTTGTTAGGCAAAAAAAAATAAATAAAATCTTAATTTTTACTTAATTCCTTACTACAGTTCTGAAGTTTAGCTTGTATCCCTACCCTGATATGAAACTGCCGAAAGAAACTCGTGAAAATGTATATTTTACTTCCACTGGTTCTAAAATTTCATTTCCTGTTTCATTTTCCTGGAAGATACTGTAGCTAGTCTTATTTTTGGAAGTGTCATGTAAACTTTGTTCAATATTAACAGCAGATATTTTAAAAACAAAGAGTGAACAGCAGATATACATATATGGAGAGAGAGATTCCTTTCCATACTAGAGATTTCAAGATGAGAAGGAAGCTTCAGGTATTGAGATCTGGTATTTCATTATTAAGTCAAATACAGAGGCAATTTGTGATTAAAACTCAGCAGCAGAAGGGCCATGAAGTTCTTGCAGTGAATTTCTGACTTATCCAGGAATATTTGCCCTCAGCTCTTGATGCTCTCTCTCCGTTCCTTCTGTGATTTTTATTTGAATATTTTTCTGGTTATAAGAACAAAACCTGAAAGTTTCTTTCCTTTCTTGCAGTATGATTAGTGACTGTTGGCATCTCAGATGGGCTAAGTGGAGCTTCTAGCGATTTGAGAAAGGTCTCATCCTATCAGAAATCCTAGAATTTTGGACTGAAAATGTGGGCTTAACCTACTCTGCCAAGCAACAACAAAAATGAAACAAAATCCTCCACCAGACAAACTTCATGACTTGAAGAAACTCTAGAGTGATCCTTGAACCACCCAGGAAAGACGAGTAACTAATTTTTTTTCCCCTTTTCCAAACTGACAATAATGAGATTTGCACTAAAAGACAGTCTAGAGAAGATACTGAATGCACAACTGGAGTGTTTGTAAATCATAGTCTATACTCTACATGTCTCTATATATTTCAATAAACTTGCCCCAAAAGACTTGTGTGTGTTCCTTACACCCATGAGGAATTGTCTTGATTTGTGTTTTTGACAAGAGATCTCTCTCTCATCTCTCCTAGAGGCAGTGTGACATGTGCACAGTGTGACATGTGCACTTCTTTCTCCAAGAAGTGGAGGAGAAACTGAACCAACCTACTGAAAGGAGTATGGCCTGATCCTATTCCTTAGTAGATGAACCAGTAATGACTGAGAATAGCTTCTCCAAATTATGATTATGGCAGTAGAAAGAGGGCACAAAGTCTAGATGATTGAAGGTTTGAAAATGACCCCAAATCTTGAATAGCCTTTTTGCTAGCTGCTAGTATCAACGCTGGAATTAAAAAAAAAAAAAAAAAAGCTTCTGAATGTGGGGGGGTGGGTCTTTGTCATCACCTTAAAATAAGAGATCTGATTCTTTACCATCTAGTGAAGAAGCCTTAGATTTTCACTCCAATTGCATTTATCACATTGCCCCATGGCAGTGCAGGGGTCAAATGCAGACTGAGCACTGTCTCAAGCCAGTTGTGTCCACATTACTTGACAGAGGCAGCATTGGAGCACAAGCTGTTTCTGCCCTGGTATCAGCTTCCCAAACTGCAGGAAGAGCCAAGCTATTAGCAATATGGATGTTCAAACGGTGAAGGCTTGACAACCTGCGTTAATATCACAGTTGAGATATAAGTCTCTGTGAGTTTCTGAGGAAAACAGCCCCACTGCTGGGAACAGAGGCAGCCTAAGTTCAGGACACCCTGCCTTGTCCATCTGTGAATGCCAAGTTCCTCCCTCCTCCTCATCAAATTCTCCCTGCAGTTTTTAGGGGAAAGCAAACTGGTATTATTTCTTCCTGCTCCTCTAGTGACCTATACCTAATGAGACATTCATATTGCTATGTTTTATATAATCCAGGGCTGACATCAGTGACCATTTGGTGCATCAGGTACCAAATAGTAAAGGACTTTCATGTGCTCCAAATATGAGGAAGGCACAATAGGACATTCCTTTCAAGCTAAATTTTAAATTTTGATTAAACTGGACATCAGCTCCCTGGAGTTGTATGTTGGTAATACTCTGATTGAGACCACAAGGCTATGCTTTTTTGTTATCAGCTGCATAAATCAACAATTAAGGGGTTTTTGGAAGGTGTAGGGGGTGGGGGAAGATGATTTGATGCATCCCAAAAGGGATGAAAGTCCAGTACGTCTTTTTTCTGCTTTTAATACTGCTTTTAGTGCAGTGGCATTTTACTGGAGAAATTCTGTCCTACCATTTGCAGCATTTCAGCTTCCCACTGTGGCAGGTCCCAATGTCAACCATAGGTCCAGAGTATGCAAAAAAACAAGTCGGAACCCCAATTTTGCCTGCATGCTACAGTACCAGGAGCTTCTTGGCTGTAAGCTGCAAAAAAAGAGGAAAGATGATTCATGTGTATTTGTCATAGCAGAGGATAGGAAAATTGCAGCACGAGATTACCAGGCGTGATATGTGGTTTCCTGCCGTGGTGTTATGGCTTAGAAGAGGAAATTCCCTGATTCCCTGAGTCAGTCCTCTTTTCCAAACAGAAAGCAGAAAGTAGCTTTCTACCTCTTGCTTTTCTTACTGGTGTCCGAGTTTGTGGTTAGGGTAACCCAATCACACCTTCTTTAGGTCTTCACACCCAACTAAAATGAAAACAAACCAGAACAGCAGACTGTAATGATAGAATTATAATATGGAGATACAGTCTGGCTGACTAATAGTAACCTCAGGCTAAGTGTCTGCTTCTTTAGCATTTCTCTTGGAGACAAATATTTGTCATTCAGTTGCACATAGGCATATTATGGTATGTGAAAAGGCAATAGGAGACACATGAATGATGGACCAGTTTTCAAAACAGGCATGGGAACAGGGACTTTTTTCCAAAGAGTTGGTATCAGTGACTTCTCCCCCATGGAGACACATTTGTTTTCTTTCTATACAGTGCAAATGGATCTCTTATGTCATCTGGAGCCTTGTATACCTATACACTTAAAAGGTAGAAGAGGCCATTATTAGCAGCTGCTCTAACTTCCTGCGAAACGCAAACCAAACAGTTTTGCCCAGTGCTTTCTCTGGCAAGCTCAATCCACAGCTGTGGTCAAACTGGACTGTACCCTTGATTTAAAAGGCATACATGCCTTTTAAAGGCATATATGTTTCCTACCTATTCAAAATTAGATAATGTCTGGTAAATCTATCACATTTCAGCCAATTTGTTCTAGTGGTTCTCAAGTCTTACCTCCTCTATTACCATGCATTGTTTGAGGACTGTGTATTGCTGATCTCACTCTGCTGCTTTTAAAGATGTCATTGGACCTTGGTTTCCCTTGTCTTAAGCCCTATAGTGCAATGGGTCTTTTTCATGGGTAGGACTTAATGGAAAGGGATAAAATAACTTATTGGCCTTTCCCAGAGACTGCTGGAACTGAACCAGCTCTGCGACCATCTCAGAGGTCATGACTTTTGATAAGATCCAGGGTACATTTTTTGGTGCATAAAATGGGCAAAGTCCAGGAAAGCAGTCGGAAGCACACAGTACTGGCGCTGTTTCAGCCTCCCTAAAAGGGTCTGCTTTTGGCCTGAGGGATTCTACTTTTCTTCACTGAGTAGACAGATATTTTCTGGTCTGGGAAAACAGATACATATTCGTGTCTCCTGAAAACCAAAGCAGAGATGTGGCTTAAACTTCCCCAGGTCCCGAGAACAGCCTAGAAAGCAGCTGCATGTGGTCCAGACACATTTAATGCACATGGACAGCATAGAGTTCAGGCAAAGTCCAACAATCACTATAACTTTCTTTCAAAAAATATCTATGAATTTAGAATACGTATTGAGCAGGTGGGAGTGCAAATGTGAGAATAAAAATCTCTCACATCACAGGACGGTGTCTTAAGCTTCATCCTACAGAATTGCCTGAATACACAGGAGGACATCTTCTCTCCATCATGTCTTCAGACAACTGGAATATAAGATTTGTAAGGCTAGAAAGAGACCATCAACAAGACCATCCAACAAGATTAGGACTATGACTAGGGAAGGGGGATTCTAATATAAAAGGTACGGAGTCCAAGGACACAGAGGTAATCTGAATCTCAGCGCTGGGCTTCAGTGGACTACTCGACACATGCAGCCTTTTAGCCTTCATCTCGCCTATTTTCTATCTTAACTGGAGCAGCCTGGAAGAGGAAGAAGAGAATAGCAACAAGGAGGAAAAGGATCCTTGTGACTGTCAGCTCGTAGGGTGATAGGCTTTGCAGGTGAGAAGATATTTGAAGATAGATGGAAGCTGATGTTTCTAGGTAGAATATGGTTAGCCCTTGTACTTATAAAGGGCTCTGGAGTTGAGCGACATAGACAGTTAGGGGGAGGGAAAGCTGGGTTGTCTGGAGAACAGCAAGTTCTTGCCCTTGCCGTTGTCCTATTGCTACAGATACCGGTGATGTACGAACATGTTGTAATCTAATACGTTTTAAGATGCCTGACCTGATCAATGACCACACTAGCTGACCTGCACAGCCAAATCACTCTGTGCTCTCAGGCCTTGTGCCAGCTGGTGGGCTGCACCCAGAGAGGATACCAGATTGGAGGAGGTGGGAGGCGGGATTCAGTGATCCGAAGTACTGTAAACCAGGCAAATCTGCTGATGTGCCATGGCTCTTGGCCACGTTTTGTGATAGCCTGTCCTCCCCCCAGCCACCTGGCACTGCAAGCCTAGCAAAGGCCAGGAAGCTGGCCTGCAAGGCTGCATGAAGCAGGGAAGCCACAGACCCTCCTCCCTGCATGTAGGAATGGATCAGAGCTTTGATTCTCACATTGATTGGAGTTGTAGGGCTGCAGCTACACTTTGGACGTGCCACTGAAGGAGGGAGGTAAAATGGTTGTGGACGGGCCCCATCGCTGCCTATGAAATCTGTAGGTATGGCAGTTGCTCCATTTTTCCAGACGTTCTTCCACCATAATTCAGTGCTCCATTACTCCCTGCTTGAGATATTTAGGGTCTAGATTAGCCATGGATTTGTACAGTCCTTTGAAGATAATATCATTGAATGCAAAGGACTATCTGGCACTGTGCATTGTACCAAGCTATCACAGGAGACCATATCCTAGTTTCCTTTTAGCATCTAGCCAAGTTCTATCTTGAAAATGGTGAGGTTGTGTGCCCCGCTGCTGCTGTTGCCATTCAACTCTTGTACCCCTACTGATGATTTGAACCACCTTCTAAATTTTAGCCTTCATGGAGAAGGCTCCATGCAAATGAAGATACTCCTAAGTGTGGTTCCTCCTAAACATGTGGGAAAAGAAGCTTGTGGGGAGTCTCTGTTCTGCATGAGCTTTTACACAGCCCTCCAAATGCATCCCAAGCTTCAGATCTTTCCTGGTCATAAAGAGTAAAGGAGATGAAATTCTTGGGGAGTCTGTGATCATGACATATGGCCAGCCATAAATAGATAAAGCCAATTGCCATCTTATTTACAAAAAATAGCAGGATCTAATGGAGGAGAAAAAAGCACTTGTCTCTTCCTTGCACAATTTCCTCCTGCCTCCCCCATGCAGCACGAGGGGCAGGAGTATTTGTTTGGGAGGAGCTGTTCTGAGGGGAGTTTGTTGAGCAAACCCTGCCAAGGTCTAGGTCGCAGCATAGATGCTGTTCAATGCTCTTTGTAACTAAATAGTGCTGGGGAGAGGGAAAGGAAGGGGGAGCAGCTCCATCCTGCACACCTGCCTCTCCAGCTCCAGCTGGAGAGCAGCAGCAATGCTTGTTCTGAGCTCAGGCTATCTCCATGGAAGTTCCTCCATGGCCACAGTCCCTCCGTGAAGGTTCCCCAATGTTTGGAAAAGGGAGCCTGGGCAAGCTGTGTCACTTCTTTCTTCCAGAGCACCAGCAGAAGATGTTGTCAAACAGTAACCAGCACTCAGAAAAAGCAGCAGAGCTCTTACTGATGAGAAGCTGGTGTACGATAAATTTAATATTTGACCCAGTAGCTAAGGAGCAGACAGGGCAGTTTGCATAGGACTTCTCCTTGCAAAAAAAAAAAGGGAAATTCATCACCCGGAAAGAGTAAGTTCATCTCCTTGTCTGAGTGTTCCTTCAGGGGGTTTGTTTGTTGATTATAGTTTCAACTCAGAAAGTCTCCATCTGTAGTGTTTTCTGGCCCGTATGGAGAGGAGCGCAAATGTCTTTGGATCTAAAGGAGAGTCTCTGCTTATTATTACAACTGACGGGCAATTAATGCACCAAAACATAACAGGAGGAGTGATTTAGTCAAAATCTCCTGTAGTCTAGGAGTAAATAAGCAGGCAGCATCAAGCAGTGGTGTTGAGTTGCCCTATCCCAAAGTTAAGGACAAGGACAAAATGGCAGTGAGAGGTAGAAACATTTGCAGACTCAACGAAGGTGATAGTGGGCTGAAGGTATAGGATGTTTGTTATCCTTGATGGAGCACTTGACAGAGGCTGCTCAGGCATGAAACCAGCTGTCAGTGGGGTGTCTCCTGTCCTAGTACCTGAAGTGCCTGTCCAGGATCAGCCATGGGGAAGAAGTCACTGATACCAACTCTTTGGAAAGTCCCTGTTCCCATCCCTGTTTTGAAAACTGGTCCATCATTCATGTTACCAGGGAAAAGATTTTCCGAGGACCTGCATTAGCTCTAAAGGGTACGTGTCAGTTAAGAGATCTCTTTGCTTTCCCTCACGGCTTGTACCATAGCTTGAGCTGTACTATGAAAGAGTTTGGGTCCAGCTGCCCTCCTGACAGCTCTCTAAGGGAATAAAACTGAAGTTTGTATCACAGGGATGTTCTCATACGAATGGAGTTTGTAAACTACTAGGTTTAAGTAAGGGAGTATTGATACACACTTTTGCTAGGTGGTCATTTTATCACTGTGACTGTTCTTACAACAACACTATTGTAGGACAGTGTCCTGTGCTCTGTTTTCCTGTGCCATGACGCTGTTTTACTTACTAATATAGATATAGCCCTTTGGGCCCAGGATAAATCTACTCAACCGCCACAAGTCAAATTAAGAAGATCTACTTTTCCTTGTCTTGGGCTTAGTCACAAGAACATAAGAATAAATGTGGTTTAGGGAGGCCTTGTCAACAAAAGCCCTTGCCAATGAGTCACAGTTTAATTAATTATATTCTGTGTCAATAAATTTCCTTATGAATATTTGTTTCCTTAAAGTCTCTCCTACTTTTATCTGATACCTGCTACCTCTTGTGCGGAAAAAGACATGTAATAACTCTTCCCTATTCACCTTCTCTAAGCCATGCTTCTTTTTCCAGACCTCTGTCATATTATCACTTAGAAGTTTGCTTTCCTGACTGTAGAGTTCTACCTTGCTTAGTCCTTTGTATCGTCATCAAACCTGTTTCATCCACCCCCCTTTTCAAACCACTTGAGAATATATGAAACAACACAGCCTTATTTGTTTAAAGAGTTGCTAGACCCAACAAGCTTTCGGTCAAAACTACAGAGCAAATTATGGTCAGTAAGAATAGGAGATCATAGTTATTGGCTTTAGAAGACATTTATTTCTGTGCGTGAATAAGATAATATCATATCTACATACATGTATAGCTCCACATCCTCCAAGAACAGCCTGAACTTGAACTGATTGAAAATCTGAACGTCCCCGTGAGGTAGGCTGGAATAGGTGGTGAAGGTGCCAAAGTATGTGTGTGTTAATTAAAAGCAAAAAAGGGAGTGACTTCAGCAAGGAAAAGCCTAGATCTCCAGAAGCAGTGTGCTAATAGGATGTATCCTCTGGAAGCTTCTTTCAATGCTCATTTGCAGGAAGGTTTAGACTGAGGAGGAATCCATCAAAAACACCTCCTCAAGGCAGTGGAAATGTTGCTGGTATAATGGCGTTGACCCAGAAATCCTTATCTTCTTATTGGGGTATAATCCTGTTAGGATACAAAGGGTCCTGTTATTTTGCTGAAGTGCAGTCTATGCTCTTCATATAAAAGCATTGATACCTGCTAATTACTTTTCAGAATAAACGTGCAAGGTGGGTTCAGCTTGGAGATTTAAAAACCTGCATTTAGATACCTACATGGAAAGGCCCCCAGGTATGGTGGGTGTCCAGGGCTATAGACATCTAGGCCACAGGAATTATAGCCAGTAGCAAACTAGTCATATTTTCAGTGCTAATAAAATATTGATTCAGTTCACCACAGAATGAAGATCTGGGGTTGGATTCAACTACCTAACCACACAGGTCTAGTGTTGTTTGACAAGATCCGAAGTATCTACCTGGCACCTGCCACCTTTCCTGAAAACCACTATTTTCCCACAGGTGATGAGCTGTATCAGCCAGACCTGTATATGTGGCTTAGGTTCTGAAACATCTCAAATGGCACCAGACCCCTATTTAGGCTACCGAATCAAGCCATTTGGGTTCAATTTCAAGCAACTCAGTAGGTTGGACCCTCAGCTGGTAAAAGTTATACTGTACTTCAGAATATCCTATTGGTTTCAACCTCTGCAGTTGTAGTGAGTCAACCTGGCTGAACATCTAACAGTCCAATAGGAAGAGATTAATCCTGAAGATTAGCAACCATTGAAATCACTTATGGGGACATTCTTCTGTGAAAGATTTGCACTGGAAACATTACACCTGGAACAAAACTCAAGAGGTCTTCCTCATCTCCCAGCCCCACTTCCACTTCAATCAGGCCTAACAGGTTTCTTAATGATGTTCAGCGCTGGAGATCTGTCGTTGCCGTTCCTAGTCTACTCACCTTCAGTAGAAAGTGTTTCCTAAAGTGAGCGATCTTTCACCGAGGCAGTCACTCTTTTGTAAAATCATCGAGTGGTAGGTTGCCTCTGCACCCCTTATATTCCCGAATTCCTAAGTAGGCACTTCCTTAGCATCATTAATTGCATAACAGTGAACTTGTCCGCCTATTGTTGCTATGATTTGGGTTTCTTTAGCTCACTGTCTGACAGCTGTTATGTTGGCCTACAGTCAGGATCCCCATGCACTGATGCTGTTCAAATGCTTTGAAACTTGTTCTCTGGAGCCAACTCATTGCACTTTGGTCAATCACTAGGAACCTTTAAACCCTGGCAAGTCAATACATAATAAAACATGGAAGCTGGAAAAACTCAGAAAAAGACAAATCTGAGTCTTTCTGTTATTTTTAGCTAGGCTCTGCCTGGCCACATCAGTGGCTGAGTATCTGCCTGAACATCTTCTACTGGGATGAGTTAATGACATCATGACTGTCCGTTTCATGGAAACACAAAAGAACCTCCCCTAATTTTCCATGAATTCAGTACACGTGACTGGAAGTCACTGATGGTGGCAATGAACAGCACAGGCAAGCAACTGAGCAAAACTACTGTGAGAGTTAAAAGCACGAGGAGTACATTTTATCTTAAGCTAAAGCAGATTCCCCAAAAGCAACATTCCAATCCTCAAGGAAAGAAAAAATCTTGCTATCAGAAAAACTCCAGGCAGATTCATCAAAGTGAATTGTCTCCTTAAACACACATCTATCATGTACACATATTCATCTTCCATCTGGACTTTCTCATAAATTGACACTTTGCAAGCCCTGCAGAGTCGCACTTCCTAATCAAAGAAATAGGAGCTGAGGTAGGTAAAATGGCAGAATGAAAATGCCCTCAAGCCCTTCGGTTCTGCGGCACTTACTTTGAACAGCATTTCAGCAGCCCCCCATGGCATGATCCTGAGATAGTGAATGTGGGTGGGCATGGCCCAGCACGGCAGAAATTTCCCTGGCTCTTACACTCTGCGGTGTCAGCAAAAGTCAGGTCTGCATTACCTGTGGGAAGAAGAGCATATTAAAAACCTCTGTTTTCAGTCTAAAATGGTAAAGAGTAAATATGCAACAAGTCAAGTGTGGAGTTCTTTTGTTTTGTTTTGTTTTGTTTTTTAGGAAGATAGCGCTCATGAGAGTATACGTTCCTGGGGTCATCCGGTGCATAGCACTGTCCTGACTGCATCAGATTTTGCCTATCAGTTGATTGTTGCTTTTTCTTCGTCCTATACACAAACTTCTGTTCACACCCCGTTTTATTCTTCATAGCATTTACGTTGCATCTCACCTGGAGCAGCCTGGAAGAGAAGGAAGAGAACAGCAAAGAGCAGGTAGAGGATCCTCATGGCTATCACTCAGCTGTGGACTATGTGTCCCCGCAAAAAGACTCAAAGACCAATGGTGGATGAAGTTTGTTTGAGGAAGTGGCTGGGGAAGGTGTCTCGTATTTATACGGTTTGCAGGATCATGAAATGTTGATGTCTGAGTGCTCTGTCAATCATTAACTGCAACCAGTCTTCTGGAACATAGATTGATTATCCCTCCTACCTCAGGCTGCAATGAAATGTGCAACAAAAATGTTGCAATCTACAACAGCAAATTTCCAATAATCTGGTCAGCCATTTGTATAATCTGACCATCAGCCAAGTCTCACTGAGTTGCATGAGTTCTCACAGGTTTTGCAGGCCTCTATACAACACAAACATGAGGATGGGTCAGTCATACAACTTGGAAGTCGGGAGCTATCGACGTCTGCTCCCAGGACTGACCTTAGATCCTTTGTTCGCTGGCGAGTTATGTAACAGTTTGTCTCCATCTCCCTGCTCCTGTCTCTGGGGATATGACATCACAGGCAGATAAAAGCACTGGGAAACATTGGAGTTGATGTAATTTTTCTTTGTCATTTTTTAAACAGGTTTGGCACAAGATCTCCCACTCCTTTAATTTTCACTTATATCCCACCTTGACTGCTTTGCTTGGAATTTACTGGGGCCCCTACTAAGCCTGCAGAGGGACAAAAGCTGCCCTTGGATTATCAGCTGGGGTAATATCCAAAGGTATCATTGACTTCAGTGTATCCAGGACTTCCCTTTTGTTTTCCCTCTTATTTCCATGAAACTATGGGAGAATGGGCTGATTCCATAAGTCTATTAAGTTATATGAGTATTATGGGTGTGACTGCTGTTACAGTGAAGTGAAGGTGATTTTCAGTTTCAAAGTGAAATAGAGGTTCTGAATTCCTGGACAAGCTTTAAGTGGCTAACTTTAGCCCAAGGTGGGTAGTATTTCTCATGTCCCAGTGAAAACAGATAGGCTTCCAGGAGGTGATTCAGAGCAAAGACTTAACTCCAGCTGCAATGAATCAAGTCTTAGAGGAGCCTTTCCCAACACTTTATGGGGGATTTGCCCATGTCTAAAGACCGTTGTGAGAGATATCACTCCTCTTCCTCCAATTCTTCCCACTCTCCCCAACTGCAAGTGTTTTGTGAGTGTTTGGTAGAGCTGTATTTGCAGTTTCAGAGATGCAGGCCTGTCATCTGTTTTAATAATACTGAGATTGAGTGAAATAGTTGGGCAGATAGGATGCTTAAAAGTGCGAGGTCTTCTTGGGCTTCACTTCAGAGCGTCTTCCCAGTGGCTGTAAATTGTTTGAGAACCACTAGATAGAGGATGATAACATTGAAAGCGCCTCTTAATGAAATCCTGAGCTTGTAGATGTCAAACACTGCAATAGCTCTTGTACCCATAGGACTCTTCTTTTTGTCCAGATACCATCATACATAACCAATAAGTTAATCTCTGTCAAAACCTAGCCATTTCTGTAGTTCCTACATCTGTCATTCTGGTTCAGCAGTTTGCTTCCTTATTACCTCATTTACTAGATTTAACTGCAAGTTAATGGCATTTTTGTTCTAAGAATTATTAATAGGATGAAGACATTACTGATATTTATGTTTAACCTAATGGTAACAGTCAAGCTTAAGCAGCTAAAAGGAAGTAGCAGCAAGGTGAGTTACCTAAGCACTTACGCTGGGAATATCACTATGATAAATATTTATTTCCATCTTCTAGCTTTTTAAAGTGTCCCTTGATGAAGTTTATACTAAGGAGGAGTCAAGTTTTCCACAAAGAAAACCAGAATGTGACAGTGGGGAAGGTAGCGACTACTCTCTGCTACTATGTGCAGTATTTGAACCAGCTCCACTCACTTTCAGGGCTGTTACCATCCATGGCACAGACTAACTCTCTTAATAGAGTCAAATGGCTTAAATCTCAGTGTTGTAAATTGTAGCCTTCATGGATCTTGCCCAACAGCCTTATTTCTTTCTGAAGCAGCACTCTTGGAAAGTGAGCAACCCTTGAAGCCTGCTAGCATGAGTAGCCTGAAAATCTCTTCCAGAGCAATAGGAAAATTCCATGACCCTGGTTCCCAGCAAAAAATAAAGACAGGCACAAACCGGTTGTTTAAAACCAGGCCAAACCTGTATAAAGTGCCTGAAGAGCAGAGCCATGTGTGCAGCGCAGAGGTGACCTGAGGCTGGAACATGATGGTGTGTACACAGAGCTATGCCCCACAGCAGCCACGACCAGGATTGAGGCTCTCCTGCAGAGATTTCTGGTGAATGTTAACTTCCAGACATGAGCTGGGAATACAAGGGGATGTAGGTACTTACCCTAGAGAAATCGGGCTCTCTCAGTAATAGCTTTTGGAGGACTTTACTTAAAATCTTATGCAAGAATATTAAAGTGCAAATTAAAAGACAAAGAACTCCATCAAATAATTAATAGTAAATGAGAGACAGGGAAGAAACACATGACACTCGAATGATTTTTAATTCTGTCTTTGTGACCATGAAAGGATGGCCACCCAGTCCCAGTAGAAGCTCCCTTAGCTGTGCTTCAGTGACTAAGTGCAAAAGAAGGTCTTGGTACACCAGCAGAAAGAGATCTCTGCATGATCCACGAAGGGAGCAGTATCTCAGGATGATACTCCTTTCATTCCCCTCTACTTAATAATAGGAAGTTTTGTTAACCTATGATGGATAAATAGATATTTATATTTTGATGCTTTGAATCCAATTTTGTTGAATTTTGCCCTAGAAGTACAGCTTTCTAAAGGTAAATTACAACCAAAATCTAAAATGCTGAGTGGCCATCCCTTGGAAACATCATCCTCTCTCAATAATCAAGAGCGCAGAGTGACTGAGTAGATTTCACAGTCTTCTGCAAAGTAGACATTTTTCTTTTCTTCTACTCTTGGTTAACTAACTACCTCTAGCTAAAAGTAGTGCATAATGAGATTCATATACCTGGTGCTGTTTGCTTTTCAGGTCTACCTTTTCTCAAAGAAGCTCTCTTAAGCACAACTTAACAGTTAATGACTAATAAATCATCAAGATGCAGTATATAAGAACTGTTATGCTTCTGGGAATGGTTATCTATAGGGTGTACATGTATTTGGACACTGGTAAGACTTGATTCTGCCATTCTAACTACGAGTACGTATTTAAAACCACATAGGCACATGACTAGCCAGCAAAGCACATGCTTACACCCCACTGAAATCAAATTAAAGTTAGCACACGCTTCAACATTCTCCTGAATGAGAACTGATGAGTAATAGTGGTACAAACCCTTACAATACATGCAGAGCGAATTATGTTTGCAGTGCTTCATCTTCCGTTCACCATAAATAACATAAGTTAATTATGATAACACTCTGTTCTTCAGTTGTGCCTTTTATCTGAAGCTTTCAAGACTTTGCCAAAGGAACAGAAGAGGAAGCTGGAGAACCTCTCTGTATGTAAGGTTCACGGACAAAGTGCTGAGATTTGGGAACCTAATCACCAATCACCTATTTGCAGCTTGGCTTCCCTTGGTTTCTTTGATCTCAGTCGCATGTATCCTGATGTTGCAATCTGCACAGTGAGTCAACATTGAGCAGACCTGTACATCACGACACTGAAAATGGGCATAGCCTCCCACGGTTCTTGCTATCACTCCCTAAATTAACCACTGTTTTGGTTTTGAAGTGAGGATGAAGGCTTTTAAACAAGGCAACTACAGCAGTGCTGTAAGGATCCCTGTGGCTGAAAGTCTGCTGAGATGTTGATCACACAGAGAGGCTTTAGCAGCAGACTGTTTCTATTGAACAAGCTCCAGGTGATTATTAAATGATAGGGGTTGCTATTCATCCTGATGCAGAGCTATTTGTAGCCCTCTGGGAAGCAGATTATTCTTCCTTAGGTCAGTACCACAGGCAAAGCCTGGGTGTTACACTCCTGCAATCAATTACACAATCGATTTCCGATGAACTAATCAGTGGATTGCATAATATGCACAGGGGCTGAAGGGATATGCAATATTTGCCCTCTACCACATGATGGGCTGTGTCCACTGGGGAATGGAAGACAAGAGAGGCAGTGCCTGGCTGAGGGCCAAGAGCTCTTTTCTTGTGCCTTCATCACCAAAATATTTTCTTCTCAGTTGCTAGCTTAAGACAACACGTTACTGTGCAAAACCGTAGCCCCAGGCAAAGCAGAGACGACTTTTATCTCTGCTGCTAGTTACATTAAATCGGTACCTGCCATGGAAGTACGGTGATAGACACAGTGGCGGCTATGGTTGAGTGAGAAATGGGGAGTGCTGACTCTGGGGTGCTGGGTTGTGGGACTGCAGCTAATTTCAGTTTCATTTCTTGCAGGAACTATCCCTTTTGTGGGTTAAAAGCCCTCAGGATGGGACCTGGCTACCTCTTAGAGGACGGAGACAGTAAGGGTCAGCCGGTCTAGCTAGTCCACCCAGGATCTTCTTTGTTGCATATATTCCTCAAGGAGGTATTCCCCTAAATACCTCCTTAAGATAAGGATAGATAAGCATCTATCAGGTCAGCCTCTGGAATTACCCTGTAAATCTGCCTTCTGCCTCCTTATTTCATCACCCCATCCACTGACAGTGCTCACA